CATGTAACAGACTGACTGTCACAAACAACCAGCATGTAACAGACTGACTGTCACAAACAACTAGCATGTAACAGACTGACTGTCACAAACAATTAGCATGTAACAGACTGACTGTCACAAACAACCAGCATGTAACAGACTGACTGTCACAAACAACTAGCATGTAACAGACTGACTGTCACAAACAACTAGCATATAACAGACAGACTGTCACAAACAACTAGCATGTAACAGACTGACTGTCACAAACAACTAGCATGTAACAGACAGACTGTCACAAACAACTAGCATGTATCAGACTGACTGTCACAAACAACTAGCATGTAACAGACAGACTGTCACAAACAACTAGCATGTAACAGACTGACTGTCACAAACAACTAGCATGTAACAGACTGACTGCAACTAGCATGTAACAGACTGACTGTCACAAACAACTAGCATGTAACAGACTGACTGTCACAAACAACTAGCATGTAACAGACTGACTGTCACAAACAACCAGCATGTAACAGACTGACTGTCACAAACAACTAGCATGTAACAGACTGACTGTCACAAACAACTAGCATGTAACAGACTGACTGTCACAAACAACCAGCATGTAACAGACTGACTGTCACAAACAACCAGCATGTAACAGACTGACTGCCACAAACAACTAGCATGTAACAGACTGACTGTCACAAACAACTAGCATGTAACAGACTGACTGTCACAAACAACCAGCATGTAACAGACAGACTGTCACAAACAACTAGCATGTAACAGACAGACTGTCACAAACAACTAGCATGTAACAGACTGACTGTCACAAACAACTAGCATGTAACAGACTGACTGTCACAAACAACTAGCATGTAACAGACTGACTGTCACAAACAACTAGCATGTAACAGACTGACTGCAACTAGCATGTAACAGACTGACTGTCACAAACAACTAGCATGTAACAGACTGACTGTCACAAACAACTAGCATGTAACAGACTGACTGTCACAAACAACTAGCATGTAACAGACTGACTGTCACAAACAACCAGCATGTAACAGACTGACTGTCACAAACAACTAGCATGTAACAGACTGACTGTCACAAACAACTAGCATGTAACAGACTGACTGTCACAAACAACCAGCATGTAACAGACTGACTGTCACAAACAACCAGCATGTAACAGACTGACTGTCACAAACAACCAGCATGTAACAGACAGACTGTCACAAACAACTAGCATGTAACAGACAGACTGTCACAAACAACTAGCATGTAACAGACTGACTGTCACAAACAACTAGCATGTAACAGACTGACTGTCACAAACAACTAGCATGTAACAGACTGACTGCAACCAGCATGTAACAGACTGACTGTCACAAACAACTAGCATGTAACAGACAGACTGTCACAAACAACTAGCATGTAACAGACTGACTGTCACAAACAACTAGCATGTAACAGACAGACTGTCACAAACAACCAGCATGTAACAGACAGACTGTCACAAACAACTAGCATGTAACAGACAGACTGTCACAAACAACTAGCATGTAACAGACAGACTGTCACAAACAACCAGCATGTAACAGACAGACTGTCACAAACAACTAGCATGTAACAGACAGACTGTCACAAAACAACTAGCATGTAACAGACTGACTGCAACCAGCATGTAACAGACTGACTGTCACAAACAACTAGCATGTAACAGACAGACTGTCACAAACAACTAGCATGTAACAGACAGACTGTCACAAACAACTAGCATGTAACAGACTGACTGCAACCAGCATGTAACAGACTGACTGTCACAAACAACTAGCATGTAACAGACAGACTGTCACAAACAACTAGCATGTAACAGACTGACTGTCACAAACAACTAGCATGTAACAGACTGACTGTCACAAACAACTAGCATGTAACAGACTGACTGTCACAAACAACTAGCATGTAACAGACTGACTGTCACAAACAACCAGCATGTAACAGACTGACTGTCACAAACAACCAGCATGTAACAGACAGACTGTCACAAACAACTAGCATGTAACAGACAGACTGTCACAAACAACTAGCATGTAACAGACAGACTGTCACAAACAACCAGCATGTAACAGACAGACTGTCACAAACAACCAGCATGTAACAGACTGACTGTCACAAACAACTAGCATGTAACAGACTGACTGTCACAAACAACTAGCATGTAACAGACTGACTGTCACAAACAACTAGCATGTAACAGACTGACTGTCACAAACAACTAGCATGTAACAGACTGACTGCAACCAGCATGTAACAGACTGACTGTCACAAACAACTAGCATGTAACAGACAGACTGTCACAAACAACTAGCATGTAACAGACAGACTGTCACAAACAACTAGCATGTAACAGACTGACTGCAACCAGCATGTAACAGACAGACTGTCACAAACAACTAGCATGTAACAGACTGACTGTCACAAACAACTAGCATGTAACAGACTGACTGTCACAAACAACTAGCATGTAACAGACTGACTGTCACAAACAACTAGCATGTAACAGACTGACTGTCACAAACAACTAGCATGTAACAGACTGACTGTCACAAACAACTAGCATGTAACAGACTGACTGTCACAAACAACCAGCATGTAACAGACTGACTGCAACTAGCATGTAACAGACAGACTGTCACAAACAACTAGCATGTAACAGACAGACTGTCACAAACAACTAGCATGTAACAGACTGACTGTCACAAACAACTAGCATGTAACAGACTGACTGTCACAAACAACTAGCATGTAACAGACTGACTGTCACAAACAACTAGCATGTAACAGACAGACTGTCACAAACAACTAGCATGTAACAGACAGACTGTCACAAACAACTAGCATGTAACAGACTGACTGCAACCAGCATGTAACAGACAGACTGTCACAAACAACTAGCATGTAACAGACTGACTGTCACAAACAACTAGCATGTAACAGACTGACTGTCACAAACAACTAGCATGTAACAGACTGACTGTCACAAACAACTAGCATGTAACAGACTGACTGTCACAAACAACTAGCATGTAACAGACTGACTGTCACAAACAACTAGCATGTAACAGACTGACTGCAACTAGCATGTAACAGACAGACTGTCACAAACAACTAGCATGTAACAGACTGACTGTCACAAACAACTAGCATGTAACAGACTGACTGTCACAAACAACTAGCATGTAACAGACTGACTGTCACAAACAACTAGCATGTAACAGACTGACTGTCACAAACAACCAGCATGTAACAGACTGACTGTCACAAACAACTAGCATGTAACAGACTGACTGTCACAAACAACCAGCATGTAACAGACTGACTGCAACTAGCATGTAACAGACTGACTGTCACAAACAACTAGCATGTAACAGACAGACTGTCACAAACAACTAGCATGTAACAGACAGACTGTCACAAACAACCAGCATGTAACAGACTGACTGTCACAAACAACTAGCATGTAACAGACTGACTGTCACAAACAACTAGCATGTAACAGACTGACTGTCACAAACAACCAGCATGTAACAGACTGACTGTCACAAACAACTAGCATGTAACAGACTGACTGTCACAAACAACTAGCATGTAACAGACTGACTGTCACAAACAACCAGCATGTAACAGACTGACTGCAACTAGCATGTAACAGACTGACTGTCACAAACAACTAGCATGTAACAGACAGACTGTCACAAACAACTAGCATGTAACAGACAGACTGTCACAAACAACCAGCATGTAACAGACTGACTGTCACAAACAACTAGCATGTAACAGACTGACTGTCACAAACAACTAGCATGTAACAGACTGACTGTCACAAACAACCAGCATGTAACAGACTGACTGTCACAAACAACTAGCATGTAACAGACTGACTGTCACAAACAACTAGCATGTAACAGACCGACTGTCACAAACAACCAGCATGTAACAGACAGACTGTCACAAACAACTAGCATGTAACAGACAGACTGTCACAAACAACTAGCATGTAACAGACTGACTGTCACAAACAACTAGCATGTAACAGACTGACTGTCACAAACAACTAGCATGTAACAGACTGACTGCAACCAGCATGTAACAGACTGACTGTCACAAACAACTAGCATGTAACAGACAGACTGTCACAAACAACTAGCATGTAACAGACTGACTGTCACAAACAACTAGCATGTAACAGACTGACTGCAACCAGCATGTAACAGACTGACTGTCACAAACAATTAGCATGTAACAGACAGACTGTCACAAACAACTAGCATGTAACAGACAGACTGTCACAAACAACTAGCATGTAACAGACTGACTGTCACAAACAACTAGCATGTAACAGACTGACTGTCACAAACAACCAGCATGTAACAGACTGACTGTCACAAACAACTAGCATGTAACAGACAGACTGTCACAAACAACTAGCATGTAACAGACAGACTGTCACAAACAACCAGCATGTAACAGACAGACTGCAACTAGCATGTAACAGACTGACTGCAACTAGCATGTAACAGACTGACTGTCACAAACAGATTGTAACAAACAGAAATCTGTCTCAACACACAGAAAACCAGCCTGTCACAGCCAACCTGTACAAACAGTCAGCAAGAATCACACAAACACAAAGCCTGTGAGAAAAATCAATCAACAGACACAACCCAGCAGCCAGCCTGTAACCAGAGCTTGACTTCCGAGACAAGTCGACAAACTTTGCTAGCCACAGCGCTAACTAGCATGCTACTAGCCGTTGCCGTTTGAAACCATGACACACCTGGCTAACTAGCTAGCCACCGCGGCTAACTAACTTAGAAGTGCGAGCAAGGTAAAAAAAACGCATCGTCATTAAATAAAACATGATTTTACAGTAAACGTGAGTGTGTTGATGCTGTTAGCTTTAGCATCAGAAGCTAACAGCCAGAGAAGAGGCCGAGGGTCAGACTAACCTGGAGGAGGAAATGTCTCGGTGAAAACCTGCTGGCAGCGACGGGAACTGATAAACTCCTCTTTTCCCAGTCCGACTCGTTAATGTCAAACACCCCGTCTTTCGGTGTCCTAAGTTAGCTGTTGATACAATTATTTTAGTACACGTCAAATCACGGTTTAAAACGAAGCAGCCGAACCTGTCTGCTGCTCTGAGCTAACTAAATACTGACGTGACGTGACGTCCAGCTGGAGCCATGCGTCATGACGTAGGAAGCTTGACAAAGATCGTCTCCATCAGTGGGGGGTCTCCGTACTGATACTTCATCCGGAAGATTTAGCATTTTAAAAGAATCAGAATTACTTTATTTGGTCGGCAACGGGGAAATGCAGAGGTGGGAGAAGTACTCAGATGATATACTTGAGTAAAAGTAGAAGTACTATGATCTTGTACTTGTAAAAGTCCTTCAATCAAAATGTTACTCCAGTAAAGGTACAAAAGTATTAGCATCAAAATATAGTTAAAGTACAAAAAGTAAAAGTAGTCATTGTGCAGATTGGTCCATTTCAGAATAATATATATGATATGTTTTATAATGATTGATCATGAAAGTGTTCTCAAAGCTGGTAAAGGTGCAGCTAGTTTGAATGACTTTGTATACTGCAGGGTAGCTTGTGGATTTACTCCAGGTGGAACTAAAGTCTGATTTAACACTTGATTATATTTCACATCATTCATCCACATCTGTGAAGTAACTAAAGGGATTAAATACATGTAGTGGAGTAGAAGTACACCATTTAAGAGGGATTATTAAGAGTATTCATTTTAAGAGTTGTACAGAATAACATTTTTCTTTGTTCTACTTTTTTACACCTTGGTATTCGTTTTTTTTTGTCTGTTTTTAACTCCTTTGTGCTGCAATGACTTTTGGGGGAAGAAAATGCATAACAAATAAACAACAACATTCAACAACACAACAAAATGGACTTAATTTGCATGCATGATCATATATCTCAAACTCTTAATGTACAACATTTCTCAAACTGGAAGAAACGTTTTATTTATTTGTGTCTAATATAATAATTAATAACATATTTTACAAAATAAAAGTTGAATGAAGCTTATTGACCCAGCATGTATTTCTATAGGTTTGTGACATGATAAGAGTGTTTTGGTTCACAGCAACAGAGAGGAGGAAGACCTCTTCTCGGTTAATAATACATCTTTGAGTCGGGTTGAATTTCAACAACAACCTGCTGCAGGTTTCCATTATAAAAAATACATCAGACACAACCTGCAGAACCGGAAACACCGGGATCATTAGGGGTCAAAGGGCAAGACCAGGACACATTTTTGATCAGTCTGACTGAAATGATGCTGATCAGATTTGAACAAAACTGACTATTTTCTTATTTAAATAAATGATTGTTCTTCGTCTTCCCTTCTCCACCTCTTCTGTTCCTCCTCTTCCTCTGAACATAGTTAATAGGAACCTGGACACTTGCAGCAATATGTGTTTCAGTGTCGCCCTCTGGTGGCAGTTTGACCCTCCATCATGGGGGAACTCACACTATTTCCCTCCTCTGCTTGTGTTTCCAGCTGCTGGGGAGCACAGCTGCACACACGGAAAGATGACTGAACAGGGGTCCAAAGAGTCAGGGGTCCCTTTGGCTGTAAAAATGAACAAGGTGCCAACAAGGAAGAAACAATAACGCTGAGACACAAAAAAGAGACATAGAGATTAGGGCTGTGCAATTAATCGTATTTTAATCGCAAATACGATTTTGGCCTGCCACAATTACGAAAACAACATAATCGAAAAAAACAATTATTTAGCTTTGCTAGGTTGAGACAGTGCAACATATTTGATCTAATTAATTTTGGTCTCATTTATTTGTATTTATATGTTTAGTAGCTTGGGGAAGTGCGCTCCCAAATATTTGTTGATCTTGTTTATTGGTATTTATTATTTTGATATTATTTATTTAAATGTATTATTTATTTTATTTATTTTTGTATTGGTTTTTCAGTTGAATTCTACGTTCAGGGTAATCAACAGTTAAACAAATACAGTTCAAATTATTATTTGTATTTGTTTTAAAGTTCAATAAATGGATTTTTTCAAAGTCAATGAATAATCGTATTTAATAATCGTGATATCAATTATTGACCCAAATAATCGTGATTATGATTTTTGTCATAATCGCACAGCCCTAATAGAGATACAAAAATACCACAAAGAGACATAAAAACACCTGAAACAGAACGACCAAAGCAGACCTATGAGCACAAAAAGGCCACCAAACGATTTCAAAGAGATGTCAAACTATCACAAAGAGACACAAGTAACAAAAAGAGCTTTAAAACCACCACCAAAACCCAAACTAACCATCACACCTCAGAGATATACCATAAAGAGACACAATGACCACAAAGACACAATAGGACAATCCAACACTACAAAAAGCCAAACAAACATCCTGCTGTGTCTTTCTCTCATGAAACACATCGTGGGGCAACATGTGAGTTAACTGTTTAAAAGCCACAGATTCCAATCTGACATTCTTCTTACACAACACACCTGAATGTACCACACCTTTGTCGGCTTTCTACGTGCATTGTATTGTGGGTAATGTAGTTCCAGGTTTTAAACAAGGAAGAGCAATGTGTCAATATCTTTGGATGTGCATTATTTATTGTTTATTATTTGAACCGAACCAGGATCATCACTGAGTGTTCTTCTGTGACTTGGGCACTACGATGTTACTCATACAAAACTCAACACAAGATAAACACAGAAAGTCTATTTTAAATGCCCTAAAGATTGTTTATTTAGAATAAAAGATGAATTGTTATGTAGGTTTACTGGAGCAAATCCTGTTAAGAGAAGACTCACCATCAAAGTCTGACCCTTTCTGTCGTACTGATGGGGTCAGCAGGGGTCAGGGTTACAGATACAGACACAAACGCCAACAAATGTATGTTGAACACTTTATTTATATTGTCAATACTAATGTATAGTGTTATAGAGGAATACAAACTAATACAAGAAACACTGAGAACATTCTGTTGATGTTTTATGTTTAAAAGAACATTTGACCAATAACCATCTACATATATATTTAAGATTTATTTTGGATGAACTGACAAGCTTCTGTAGATCTCCTGAGGATCCCCAGCTCTGGTGGGTTCCCAGTAGATCTCTGGTGGGTTCCCAGTAGATCTCTGGTGGGTTCCCAGTAGATCTCTGGTGGGTTCCCAGTAGATCTCTTAGTTATCTTCTTCATGGCATGGTCTCCACGTTGACCTTGGATAGGGTGACGTCGTGGAAGATGTTGAGCACATTGATGGATCTCAGGTTGCTGACCCGGTGATGGAAAGTCAGGACATGAGAGTTGTTGACGGCGACCTTAAACTCTTTGTTGGTGCACAAGATCTTCATCTGCAAAGGAAAATCCACAAAATCATCATCAACCTGCTTTTCCACAGATTAGCCCTGAACCCCACTTCACTGTGTGTTTGGTCACAGCTTGGTGTCAAACATAAACAAAGTCAATGCAAAGACGCGAATGGACAAATACATTCTGTCTACGCAGAAACATGTTTGACCTTGAGCCAAAAGTTGGAGTGAAGCTGAGTCAGAAATGTAGGAAGAACTTCTTTTGGTCATCTGTCGACACTCGGAGCTTCAGTACCTAAAAGGAAGGCTTTTTGGCCAATCTGGTCATTTCTGTCATAGCTAATGGCTGAAATTAATATTGCTAAGGTATGTGGTATCTTTGGAGGTAAGCACCTCATCTTCCTGGAAGAAGTACTCCCATTGGCGACTGTTTATCAGCCTATCAAAATAGAAAATCTAGAGGCTTGAAAACAACACTGTTTCTGAACCCAAACATGTCCGTAACATCCGAGAGGAATTGTTGCCGTCAAATCTGAAATACAGGGTAACATGATTTTAAATGTAAAGTAAATCCCAGTTCAAATGAACATTAAAAAGTATTGAAAATCTTGTACTCAGTGATTTTAATGTTATGTTAAATGTCTGTTTTCTTGTTTCTTGTCTTATTCATTTGTCCTTGTTGATATTGCAAATGGAGCTGCTGTTATGAAAGAAAAGTTTCGAACTTATTGTAACTATTGTAGTTACAAAAACATCCCGGCAGCCGTAACCACACAAGTTTCATGAGGTGAAAAACGGTCGTACCTAATGTTTGTGAATGCTATTAAAAACAAGTGTTCTTAGTATAAATTAAATATTGGACCTCAAATGGCTTCCCTTGTTGGAAGGGGAAGTTCTGCAGATCTCTCTCCTCTCTCCCCCACTTCTTGCTGATGAAGCTGTTTCTGACGATCACCTTCTTGCCGCCCTCATTGAAGCGAGGGTTGAAGTGGAAGGCCAGATCGGTGGATGTACTTAAATCAATTATGAACCTGGAAAACAACAGACACATCAACTCAAAATCTTTAAACGTATTACAGTGTCATACAGTGAAGTCATGTATCCATCCATTCGTTGTTCATGTTAAAGTGTTGATACTGACTTGTCAGCATTTGATTTGATGGTTCCAGCGATGGTGATGAGCATTTTGTCATAAACTCCACCGGGCAGAGGCATGCTGTACGGAACCGTCTGTAAACAGGAAACAGATTTCATTTCCATGAACAATGGATTATCCATCCATCAACTATTCATTCATCCAACAATCCCCACAAATTCATCAATAACAATCCATGGGTTCATTGATTTATTGATTCAACCATCCATCCATCATTTATTCCTCCAACAATCCATCAAAATAATCTGATAACCATCCATTATCCTTTCACCCATCCATTATCCTTTCACCCATCCATTATCCTTTCACCCATCCATTATCCTTTCACCCATCCAACAACAGTCCATCTATCCATCCGTCTGTCTGTCCATCACTTCACCAAACCATCCAATAATCCCTCCATTGTACCCATCCATCCTAGTCCATCCATTCATTCAAGTAATCGGTAAACGATTCGTCCATCCAATAATCCCCCCCAATTATCCATCTATCCTTCAATACTTCATCCAACTGTCCATTCATCCATCAAACATTCAGCAAAATGCATCCATCCATCCAATAATCTCTCCAATTTACCCATCCATCAATTTTACATCCAGCGAACCATCCAACAACAATCCACCCAAATATTCGGACATCAATCCATCCATCCAATCATCGCCCCAGTTATCCATCCAATCGTTCCATCCTTCATCAATACGTCCATTCATCCATCAAACAACGATCCATTGAACAACAATCCACCCAATCATTTGACAATTATCCATCAATAAAAAATTCCTTCCAATTCATCCATCCATTGTTCATCCATCCATCTATCCAATAATCCCTCCAATTCATCCATCCACCCATCCATCCATCCACCCAAGTAATCGGTAATCGATCCGTCCATCCAATAATCCCCCCGAGTTATCCACCTAATCCTTCAATACTTCATCAATACGTCCATTCATCCATCAACATTTTTTTCAAATTCACCCATCCATTCATTAATTCATCCATCCATCCAATAATCCCTCCAATTTACCCGTCCATCCATCATCCATCCAGCCAACCATCCAACAACAATCCACCTAAATATTCGGATATCCATCCATCCACCAAAGTAATCGGTAATCGATCCGTCCGTCCAATAATCCCCCCAGTTATCCATCCAATCCTTCCATCCTTCATCAATACGTCCATTCATCCATCAAACACCGATCCATCGAACAACAATCCACCCAATCAAAAATTCCTTCCAATTCATCCATCGTTGTTCATCCATCCATCCATCCATCCATCTCTCCGGCTCCATCCATCCATCCATCCAACAATCCATCCATCCAACAATCCCTCCGGCTCCATCCATCCATCCATCCATCCATCCATTTATCCATCCATCCATCCATCCATCCATCCATCCATCCATCCATCCATCCATCCATCCATCCATCCATCCATCCATCTCTCCGGCTCCATCCATCCATCCATCCATCCATCCATCCATCCATTTATCCATTTATCCATCCATCCATCCATCCATCCATCCATCCATCTCTCCGGCTCTATCCATCCATCCATCCATCCATCCATCTATCCATCCATCCATCCATCCATCTCTCCGGCTCCATCCATCCATCCATCCATCCATCCATCCATCCATCCATCCATCCATCCATCTCTCCGGCTCCATCCATCCATCCATCCATCCATCCATCCATCCATCCAACAATCTCTCCGGCTCCATCCATCCACTCCCCACAATTGTTCCATAATTAATCTCTTGTTCTGTCTCACCAGACTCTGTTGGGGGGCATAGCCAGGTCCAGGTCCAGGTCCACGTCCAGGTCCAGGTCCAGGTCCAGGTGAAGGAGACGGCCAGCCAGGTTGGCTTGGCTGGCTGGGCATTTGACCTCCAGGTTGGGGTCCAGGCCAGGCACCTCCACCCCCAGGTTGACCTCCAGGTTGGGGTCCAGGCCAGGCACCTCCACCTGCAGCGGGAGCGGGACCTGCAGGCCAGGCACCTCCACCTGCAGCGGGAGCGGGACCTGCAGGCCAGGCACCTCCACCTGCAGCGGGAGCGGGACCTGCAGGCCAGCCACCTCCACCTGCAGCGGGACCTGCAGGCCAGGCACCTCCACCTGCAGCGGGAGCGGGACCTGCAGGCCAGGCACCTCCACCTGCAGCTGGTGCGGGACCTCCAGGCCAGGCACCTCCACCTCCTCCTCCACCCGCAGCTGCAGGCCAGATGGGGTTGGGAGTAAGTTGACTTGAATGTGGTTTACACTGTTTTTAATTGCAGACTTCTCTGTTTTTATTAATCTGTTCTGTTGGATTTGATTTTTGGATTTTGGCGACTCCTGGTGGTCGGATTAAAACAATTTATTACACGGCTAAATCGTATACTTCCGCTTCCGATTGGTCACTTCAGAACATATGACACGTTGTTAATACCGTAGTACAGACCACTGTCAAGGACTATATTGACCGTTGGTAAGGAGGATCAAGAAAGAGAAAGGAAAAGAGGTTAAGGCAGACAGGAAGTGGACACTAACAGGAAGTGAACACTAAGGGCTCTGCAGAGGTTAAGGCAGACAGGAAGTGAACACTAACAGGAAGTGAACACTAAGGGCTCTGCAGAGGTTAAGGCAGACAGGAAGTGAACACTAACAGGAAGTGAACACTAACAGGAAGTGAACACGGTAAGGGCTCTGCAGAGGTTAAGGCAGACAGGAAGTGGACACTAACAGGAAGTGAACACTAAGGGCTCTGCAGAGGTTAAGGCAGACAGGAAGTGGACACTAACAGGAAGTGAACACTAACAGGAAGTGAACACTAAGGGCTCTGCAGAGGTTAAGGCAGACAGGAAGTGAACACTAACAGGAAGTGAACACTAACAGGAAGTGAACACTAAGGGCTCTGCAGAGGTTAAGGCAGACAGGAAGTGGACACTAACAGGAAGTGAACACTAAGGGCTCTGCAGAGGTTAAGGCAGACAGGAAGTGAACACTAACAGGAAGTGAACACTAACAGGAAGTGAACACGGTAAGGGCTCTGCAGAGGTTAAGGCAGACAGGAAGTGGACACTAACAGGAAGTGAACACTAAGGGCTCTGCAGAGGTTAAGGCAGACAGGAAGTGAACACTAACAGGAAGTGAACACTAACAGGAAGTGGACACTAAGGGCTCTGCAGAGGTTAAGGCAGACAGGAAGTGGACACTAACAGGAAGTGGACACTAAGGGCTCTGCAGAGGTTAAGGCAGACAGGAAGTGGACACTAACAGGAAGTTGACACTAAGGGCTCTGCAGAGGTTAAGGCAGACAGGAAGTGGACACTAACAGGAAGTGAACACTAAGGGCTCTGCAGAGGTTAAGGCAGACAGGAAGTGGACACTAACAGGAAGTGGACACTAACAGGAAGTGAACACTAAGGGCTCTGCAGAGGTTAAGGACGTGTTAGTGGATCAGAAACTGTAAACAGATTTGGACAGTGCTGCCGTAAAGTTGTTGTTGTCTCAGTTCCAGCCGTCGGTGCGCAGAGGAACAGAGTTTTTATTTTCTTAGCTGAAGAAATACGATGATTTTTAACTCAATAACATATTTACAATTAATATTGGGAGTCGAGCCGATAGTTTGTTTAGTATTTGGCCGTGTAATAAGCGGGATAATGTGCAGCGTCACTATGGGGAAAAGAACACATTATCTCTTAATACTCATCGATTTAGAGACAGGGGTCGTATTCTGGGGAAACACTCCAGGATTAAAGTTGTAGGCGTACATTTACAAGATTCTAGGTTTAAATGTTCAGTGAAATATTGTGTTTTTTGTAAAGGAATCAATTCTATAAGGTCAATGCAAACAGAGGAAGGAATTCAGTCGATGCAAGCGGAAATATTTGAAATTGATAAAAAAGTAATTAGCATGATTCTGTGTCCCCAAGAATCTGACATTTTGGACAAAGTGTTTGTACTGTTATGTAAATTAATCGAAAACTAATTTGCTGGTTGGATGCAAACTGTATTTTGTTGTACTCTGTGCAATGACAATAAAGTTGAATATAATCAAATCAAATCTAATGCGAATTCAATACAATTCAATAAAAGGATCCTCAATCCCATAACCCTGTTCTTGGACTTCATACCATTAATAATATTGAAGAATAAGTATGTGTAGTGTAATGATGATGGTATTCTTACCTGGCCAGGAGGGATTGGTGGGCGGGTTGTTGCCCCCACCAGCGGGCCAACCACCGAGGGCGTCTTCCAGCTGCAGAGATAGAAAAAGGAAATCACGGGATGTCTACGTTTGAAACCGACCCAACTATTACCCTATCATTATCCCAATTATTTTGCAGTTAAACATAGTAAAAACAGCAAACAGAACCATAAGATCCAGCTGTCTTTAAAGAGCCGTATTTCCCATCACCAACAAACACATAAAAACAAATGTTTCAGAGCTGCACCTGAACGCAGCACAGTGTGTTTCAGTGTGTGTGCAGACTTCAGGGTGTGTGTGCAGACTTCAGGGTGTGTTGGTGACAGACTCATCAGGAATGTTCTGTATGTAGGTGTTGGTTTAAGAGATGAATGCCTCCCTATTTACATTCTTACCCCCTTAAACCCCAAACACATACACACACACACACTAGGCAAACACAAGCTACAGTGTCTGTATTGTGTCAGTTTCAAAGTACTTGGTGTGAACGCCCCTATAGTATACAGTAGAACTATGATCTTAGCTAACTGAACAAGGTCATTGCCGTTAAAGCTAGGGTTGGTCAAAAATGTTTTATATTTCTTGAAATTATCCTTAATAAATCAAATGCTCTGAAAAAGAATTAGGTATATGTGGGTATCATTGTTGCAGGACTGTAAAAGAGTGGTACAGGAATGACTCCTAAAACCCAGAAATTAGTCAGCATTTTACCACTTCCTGTTCCCTCGTCTTGAAGTCAATGTTTTTTTGTATGTGTTTTTGGTTGCCTGAAATAAAGTCTGTGATCAACACAAGCTAAAGAAGTTTTTCACATTTTGTTCTACAACATAAAATATGTCAGTTAATACCCCACTGGTGAATGTCTGAAGCTTCTACGTGTCTAAAAAGCAGCGGTTGCGAATATTAGCCGCCTTTAGCTTAGCGGTGGTGACGTGAAGTCATGTGACCGTGCTGTAGTTCCTTTATAGCCCAACATTAGCCACCTTTAGCTTAGCGGTGGTGACGTGAAGTCATGTGACCGTGCTGTAGTTCCTTTATAGCCCAAGATTAGCCACCTTTAGCTTAGCGGTGGTGATGTGAAGTCATGTGGCTGTGCTGTAGTTTGTTTATAGCCCAACATTAGCCACCTTTAGCTTAGCGGTGGTGACGTGAAGTCATGTGACCGTGCTGTAGTTCCTTTATAGCCCAACATTAGCCACCTTTAGCTTAGCGGTGGTGACGTGAAGTCATGTGACCGTGCTGTAGTTCCTTTATAGCCCAACATTAGCCACCTTTAGCTTAGCGGTGGTGATGTGAAGTCATGTGACCGTGCTGTAGTTCCTTTATAGCCCAACATTAGCCACCTTTAGCTTAGCGGTGGTGATGTGAAGTCATGTGACCGTGCTGTAGTTCCTTTATAGCCCAACATTAGCCTCCTTTAGCTTAGCGGTGGTGACGTGAAGTCATGTGACCGTGCTGTAGTTCCTTTATAGCCCAACATTAGCGACCTTTAGCTTAGCGGTGGTGATGTGAAGTCATGTGACCGTGCTGTAGTTCCTCTATAGCCCAACATTAGCCACCTTTAGCTTAGCGGTGGTGATGTGAAGTCATGTGACCGTGCTGTAGTTCCTTTATAGCCCAACATTAGCCACCTTTAGCTTAGCGGTGGTGACCTGAAGTAGCAATGCTCATTGTTTAGGCTCATAATAACAATTTAAGGGGAGTGACTGTCACAGAAGGCCTAAAGGGAAAAGTTAAAGGGCTAATTTCTGGCTAGGATTAGCAACAGTTTGACCTAATCTAAGTCGGGTAATGACTTTCCACACAGTAATATTAAACATTAACTTAATTTTGCAATAAAACCTGCCCTTTCTTTACTTTAGGGGATGTAATGTGCTTTATTTTAGTCTGGTTTAGACATCTAAATGAACACATGCTACACAGCGGTAAACATTAAATCACATTTAGGATTCAGGTGAGGGATGAAACTCAGACTTACATTCATGTTGCTCGACTGTGATCTGAAACACAAAGAAACATTTGAAAACTACAGGAAAATAAAACAATGTCTGAGGGTGTGGTGGGCGAGTCCCATCATGGAGAATAGAAACCTGAAACTCTTCTTCATCTTCCTCCTCTTCCTCCTACTGTGTGAAGGAGTTTAAGAAACTACATATTCCTAACATGTCAAATACTAAGCTCTTTAATGAGTTCTGCTTTATTTGTAGTACAAACCTCTGACAGTATTAACGTTTAGCCTCCAGCTTTCCTACTCGTATTTCAGCTTTACGCTTGATTATAAAATGCAATATTTCCTGTTTTACACAACACAACCTTTGCACTTAAAACTCCTGTATTTTCTGAAATTATTTGCAATTTCACAGACATTCGTTTGGCAATTCTTCTTTGTAAAACTAGTGTTATAAGTATTTAACTGCTGCATAACTAATCTGACAAGTGGTCAGCACTTTGGCTCGACCAAAAATCGTTTAAAAATGTGCTATATAAATAAAACTTGATTTGATTTGATTTTGAAAAATAATAATAATGTAAAATAAAAAAGGTACATACATAATAATAACAATGATAAGTAAATAAATAAATATGAAATAATAAATTATACATAATCCTCAATAATAATAAAAATAATATTAAATACATAATAGCTCAAAATTAGCTGCACCTCAACCAACTACAACGGTAAAATCCTGCTTTGTAATAATAATTTAATAAACGTATTTATCAATAATATAATATAGCACAGGGGATAACAAAAAAAACTGATTATACTTTGGCTACCTACTTTTACTTGTCAAAGTGTTTCCACAGTGTGGTAGCCTACTAGTAGCCTACAAGGATCTGAAGCTCTGGTTTCTGTGGTGTTGGACACACACACACACACACACACACACACACACACACACACACACACACACACACACACACACACACACACACACACACACACACACACACACACACACACACACACACACACACACACACACACACACACACACACACACACACACACACACACACACACACACACACACACACACACACACACATCACACACACACACACACACACACACACACACACACACACACACACACACACACACACACACACACACACACACACACACACACACACACACACACACACACACACACACACACACCGCACGACAGAGCAGCGTTTACTGTTTGCTTCCTCTAACTGTCAGCAGACTCTCATCAGTAATTGTTTTTGCATTGACTGTATTTAATTTGCGGGACATTACTCTAGTATTTCCATGTTGCTGTTACTTGTACACTAAACTGCAGCATTGATATGCATCACATTAATCAATATTCTAAAAATCATGATATAATGAAAAGAAAAACAACCCGTATATAATAGTAAAACACAAAAACTGAATATTTGGCTGAACATTGAAGTACATTTACCTTAGGTAGGCTACTTGAAGTACATTTTGCTGATAATACTCAAATACTTTTACTTCATTAAGGTTTTAAAATCAGTTAACTTAATCTGTTGACTTCTATAAGCATCTATTTATTCTCTCTAATAAGATTAAGAATGTTGCTTGTTGGAAAATGCAGTGAGTAAACAAGTTTAAAACGATCAGGTTTCACTCTGTGTTTGTAACATACATGTGTGTATACTATATATCCTACTAAACTCTTTCTATCATGCCCATGCCTATAATGCATTATGATCTGCTTGTTAAACTGTTTTGTTTTTAAACTCAGCAAGTAAACAAGTGAAATATGATCTGTACATCAAATGACCAACAACAGAACACCAGACACCATTTCTATCCACAGAAAACGGGTTGTCTTCTTCAGTGTTAAGGAAGAAGGCAGAAAACAACACTCCATTTTTTAGTTTTCGCGAGAAGTTTCAGGTTTCAGATTTACTTCCTGCTTCTTCTTAGTAGTTTTAAAACATCGTCAGAGGAAGATGAAGAAGACCTTTCAGAATAAAAAGAGTGCATGAATACAAAGTATAAGACCTACCTGAGTTTACCTGAGGCAGCTGCTCACAGACTGACAGTGTGTGTGAAACACCGGGAGAGTTTTTAAGTCCCGAGCCTCACCCTGTCCTCACAGACCACACCCTGTGTGTGTGTGTGTGTGTGTGTGTGTGTGTGTGTGTGTGTGTGTGTGTGTGTGTGTGTGTGTGTGTGTGTAAGGGGGGGGGGGGTGTTTGGGAATGTTGCCATGTCAACTTTATTTTTTTGTTTGATTCAGAACAGGTTTTTCTTTTCCCCCACCCACGGACACTTCAGGGCGATATCATTGATAGACTATTTGCTCTGTTGTATATACTATATATATTATGTGTTGCCATGGTAACTAACAAGCAGATTCATTTAAGTGTTTCCTAACAGGGAGGATTTTTTGTTCACCTTTTAATTTCTTTGATGTTTTAGGAGTTTGAAACACACTCAACATCCACGAGGCTACTGTTTAAATGGATCAGGTTTCACTCTGTAACCCATCCTGTAATAAACCTGTGTATATAATTAGATATAATTAGATATAATATATAGTGAACACTCTCTATGACACCCATGTTTGCTTTATAATCATAGTTTTTAACTCTCATATATATTCCTAATGATTTAAAGAAGCCCTATTCTGCTTTAAGGGTTTTACCTTTCCTGTGGTGTGTTAGGTTTTAGTGCAGAGACACTACATACTGATATACACCTGAACATCAGCAGGAGAGGACTCTTTAAAGTAGAGACACTACATACTGATATACACCTGAACATCAGCAGGAGAGGACTCTTTAAAGTAGAGACACTACATACTGATATACACCTGAACATCAGCAGGAGAGGACTCTTTAAAGTAGAGACACTACATACTGATATACACCTGAACATCAGCAGGAGAGGACTCTTTAAAGTAGAGACACTACATACTGATATACACCTGAACATCAGCAGGAGAGGACTCTTTAAAGTAGAGACACTACATACTGATATACACCTGAACATCAGCAGGAGAGGACTCTTTAAAGTAGAGACACTACATACTGATATACACCTGAACATCAGCAGGAGAGGACTCTTTAAAGTAGAGACACTACATACTGATATACACCTGAACATCAGCAGGAGAGGACTCTTTAAAGTAGAGACACTACATACTGATATACACCTGAACATCAGCAGGAGAGGACTCTTTAAAGTAGAGACACTACATACTGATATACACCTGAACATCAGCAGGAGAGGACTCTTTAAAGTAGAGACACTACATACAGGAGAGGACATTATTAATAACAATAATCACAAAAAAATGTGTAATGACGTATCTAACTTTTTAATATATCATCATACTTCATTTAAAAAATGTATAAATATATAACCACATAATAAACATATATAAAATATGATACATTGGCCGTATTATATGAGAATTCAAAAGTGAACAAAACAAAGTTTGAATAGCCTACCCTGTGTTTGCACGGAACTGGATCAAATTTAGATTTCTTAATGATCAGCATCACCTCTGACAGCGTGATATACACACACACACAGACACACACACATACACACACACACACACACACACACACACACACACAACACACACACACACACACACACACAGACACAGACAACACACACACACACACACACACACACACACAGACACACACACATACACACACACACACACACACACACACAGACACAACACACACACACACACACACACACACACACACACACACACACACAGACACATACACACACACACACACACACACACACCACAGAACACACACACACACACACACCACACACACACACACACAGACACAACACACACACACACACACACACACACACACACACACACACACACACACACACACACACACACACACAGAAAATCTTCCAGTAAAATAGGAATCCTTTTCATACAGTTACCGGTGACTCATGGTCATTCATGTGTGTGTGTGTGTGTGTGTGTGTGTGTGTGTGTGTGTGTGTTGTCTGGTTCATGGTTACTGAAATGAAGATGACTGAGCGTTCTGCCCCCTATAGACAATTTAAAATCCAAATCCTTCGTTTACCACAGTTACAGTAAAAAAAGGATATCAAATATAAACTGATAAATACTGAAGATCTGTGTTCTTCTACTTTTACTCAAGTACAAGATCTGAGTACTACTACTCAAGTACAAGATCTCTCTCTACCAACAACTAAATTGTAAATATTGTGCACATAACAACTTTTAATCTTTGCTTCCCTGTATGATCCAGCAGGGGGCAGCAGAGCCACTCCAGGCTCTCACAGTGCAGAGCTGCAGACAGACAGCAGGGGGCAGCAGAGCCACTCCAGGCTCTCACAGTGCAGAGCTGCAGACAGACAGCAGGGGGCAGCAGAGCCACTACAGGCTCTCACAGTGCAGAGCTGCAGACAGACAGCAGGGGGCAGCAGAGCCACTACAGGCTCTCACAGTGCAGAGCTGCAGACAGACAGCAGGGGGCAGCAGAGCCACTCCAGGCTCTCACAGTGCAGAGCTGCAGACGCACAGCAGGGGGCGCTGTGGAGCTGCGGACAAATATCACACTTCCGGTTCTGGTTTTCACATTAAGAAACCAAATTGAGGTTTAATGTTAAAGCAGCTGACTCAACAAACCAAATCCAGCCAGGAAATTTGTCTGTGAAATAATCTGATCGGAGGTAAGATTTAACTCTTTAGTTCCTCCAGTGTTACAAAACGTATGTGTAATAAATATTATATATGCATGAAGTGTAATTATATATATATATAGCCACATTATGTTTCTATTTAGAGGAGTTCAAACCAGTCATTTCATAATTAGCTGATTTAAAGATATTAATAATCATTATTGATATACAAGAGAGAAACTTGTTTAAAGAAATACAAAAAAATAAGCAAGACAAATATTTTAAATATATTATACTGACAGAATGAGTTTATTAAAGGTATTTGTATTTTATGTTTAGCATATTTATTAGGTATATATCTTTGTTGGCTTCTGTAGACTGTAAGTGGTGTGTTTGAATGCTTAAAACAGGACCTCTCAGAGTCTGATCCTTCTGCAGTCTGAGCTCAGAGAAGAGTGTGTGTGTGTGTGTGTGTGTGTGTGTGTGTGTGTGTGTGTGTGTGTGTGTGTGTGTGTGTGTGTGTGTGTGTGTGTGTGTGTGTGTGTGTGTGTGTGTGTGTGTTACAGTATGAACAGTATATACTTTAGCCGCCTGCAGACTGGGATAATCCGAGTTGAGCTGCTGACCTCGACGCAAAAAAAGTTCAACAAGAGAGCAGAGACCCAAACAGACGACAGTAAGAGGGGGGGGCTGCTCTGTGTGTGTGTGTGTGTGTGTGTGTGTGTGTGTGTGTGTGTGTGTGTGTGTGTGTGTTTGTGTGTGTGTTGGAGCAATGTAGGTTAGAGGGTTGTGGTTTAAATGTTCCACTATCCTTCTAGTTGTGACCCTGAAGTTAGCATAAGGGCTCCCTCAACAAAAATACATGGGATTTTGGATTAATTTAAAAAATGAAAATCTGTGTCAAACAAACGTTTATGATTCTACACCTTTAGTTCAGCAGGATAATCTCCACATATTAACACCACTTTATGATTTGTATAGTAAAAAGCTAACGTTGGGCTATAAAGGAACTACAGCACGGTCACATGACTTCACTTCACCACCGCTAAGCTAAAGGAGGCTAATGTTGGGCTATAAAGGAACTACAGCACGGTCACATGACTTCACGTCACCATCGCTAAGCTAAAGGAGGCTAATGTTGGGCTATAAAGGAACTACAGCACGGTCACATGACTTCACGTCACCACCGCTAAGCTAAAGGTGGCTAATGTTGAGCTATAAAGCAGCTACAGCACAGTCACATGACTTCACGTCACCACCGCTAAGCTAAAGGAGGCTAATGTTGGGCTATAGAGGAACTACAGCACGGTCACATGACTTCACGTCACCACCGCTAAGCTAAAGGTGGCTAATGTTGAGCTATAAAGCAGCTACAGCACAGTCACATGACTTCACGTCACCACCGCTAAGCTAAAGGTGGCTAATGTTGGGCGTGATGCTTCTTAGTCGTCTCATTTAGACACTTGTCCTAATTTAAACTCGGAAATATTTTTCCATATTGGTTTTTTTTTTGTGTCTTTGTGGTTGAATTACATCTCTTTGCGGTTAAGTGTGTTGATATTATTGAATGTCTCTATTTGATGGTTTTATTTGTGATTTTGGTGGTTTTATGTCTCAGTGCGGTGGTTTAGTGTGTTGTTATTATTTAACGTCTCTTTATTGTGGTTGGTTAACGTTTATAAGTGGTTGTTTCATGTTTCTTTCTGGTGGTTTTATGACACATTGTAGTGGTTTTAAATCTCTTTGCGGTTGTTTAGTGTGTCTTTGTGGTTTCATTTTTCCAATAAGACATGTAAAGAGTCACTTCAAAAAGAGACTCTGCACTGAGGGGCCCCTGACCCCCTTGGCCCCTGGGTTTCAGCCTAGTTGGCCCATTCAGTAATCCCTCCATGGTCACATGTCTGCACTACAGGCATCAACAGCGGAAAGACAAACCAACAACCCGTGGAGATCAGTGTCATCATTGCAGCGAGCTGTTCGCACACGCTCAGTGAGAGTCTGACTGAGAACAGAGATCAGCCGCAGATAATATTCTGTCTTTCTTCCAAAAACAAAGAGAAGCTGAGCGAACAGGACACAGATCTTATCGTCTGATCTGAGATCTGCAGCTCGCTCTGATTCTGAGGAATGTTGATCCTGTCAGAGCTGAACCAACAAACCTCTGCTTCTTATACAGACTTCACAACTGTCTAAATTAAATCACCAGGAGTATAAAGCCAACGTAAGGCTACAAAGGAGCTACAGCACGGTCACATGACTTCAGGTCACCACCGCTAAGCTAAAGGCGGCTAATGTTGGGCTACAAAGGAGCTACAGCACGGTCACATGACTTCAGGTCACCACCGCTAAGCTAAAGGCGGCTAATGTTGGGCTATAAAGGAACTACAGCACGGTCACATGACTTCAGGTCACCACCGCTAAGCTAAAGG